ACAGAAAATTTAAGCCTGAGCATGTTGTTTCAAGGGCAATGGTCCAGTCAACATTTGTGCCAAGTTTGATTAGTGTTGAAGGAGTTTTTATAGTATTATAGCAATTTGAACTTGTAACGGGAGACTTTTCAATGAAAACAGCCATTTTTCACAAAATGCTCATGAAGCAATGGGTTAAGATGTTAGGTGTTACAGTCACAGATGATATATCTGTTTATGCGCTGCATTTTTTGTCCCCAAGAGCATATAGGTCAGACACTCGTATTGATTTTCCCATTGACTTGCTTTATGAAAACTGGTTTAGCTTATCTTAAAATCCTACCTTAGTTTTACATGCTAAAGAGGTGATTTTGCTAGGAGAATGAAATGTCTTGACACATAAAAATGATCTTGTTAGATAGTGGTAGCAAAATGACTACTCCCATTTTCATTGAAATTTCTGCTGATCACAGGACAGGCCTACACTTTTAAATATAAAAAGGCAAAGCCTCAAACGGAGCTCGATGTTCTTTTACCCTGAAATAGTATAAAATGATTATTCATTTTTATTTTACATTTTCCATTTTAAAATTGTCATTTGGTATTTTATACACTGCTTCTGTCTATTCTGGTTCTCTGTCCTATTATGGTTCCCATATAAGTTTGCAGGACACCAGTCTACGTTTCCGGTTTCAATCAGAATACCTCGGCTTTTATCTTTATCTTGTAATTCGAAAAAGTTGCGATGTGTCAGTTCGGTACTGAAAGTTTTCAAACCCATCACTATCTAGCAGTTACTCGCATTACTGTAAAGCTCAATTTGGGAGCAGGCACGTTGAGCCAGCTCTTCTAGCTGGGATTAGAGCACCACACAAAATACCATATTCCTGTATATACTGGACTAGACGCTTCAATGATTAAATGCTAAAATCTTGCCTTTTTACCTAACAGAATGAACTTTAAAACATCTAATTTATCTGTTTTCACCAATTTATATACAGTGAAAGTTGAGAAAACCGGACGGTCTTCGGACTGAGGGTTTTGTCCGGTTTTCTCAGCGGTCCGGTATTCTCAATGTCCCCTTCAGCTGTTCTGGATCTTATATTATAACCGAGCAATGACTTACAAAGGATGCTGTATATTTGCATTTTCAAGATAATGTGTACGTATACTGCTAAATAAAGAAATGATAAAAATACAAGAAAATATGTTTTAATTGTTTTTGTCCCATTATTGCATATAAATACAATAACAATTTGGATTTAAATGAACAGCAGTTACCTCATAACGACCAAGTCCGAGTACATCCGCATATGTTTACATTTTGGTAATGGATAATGATTTTACGAACATAGTTTACTTTGTGTGTTTATAATAATAACATATTGGTCTGATTTTTAAAGTAGGTCTCGGCAAAGTTTCATTGTCTTTAATTAATTTAACTTTGTCACTTGTAGACAGCTCTCGTCGAATTCTTTTCGGCCATGGAATAGAACTTAGCGCCGATAAATGCGTTTTCGTTGCGTTGTAATTCTAGGAAATGAATATATACTGGTGCCTCGTATTTCCGTGTTACCCTTATTTCCAAGGTATCAGGCTTAAACAGTCTTAAGTGCCTCCTAGTCTTAATGAACCTGCCAGTAGTTTTACTTTTACTATTTTATTATATTTTTATCGAAATGTTACATATAGAACTAAAAAAAATATTTTATTCAGATTAAGAGCAAAGTAATTTAATAGTTCACCATTTTACTTTAAGATTTCATACATTTTAAGAAAATCTTTTTTGTTAAACAACCATTGAGGTACTTGGTAAATGCCAAAGAGAAAATCACCCCTTTCAGATGAGCCTAGGCATAGGTGTACTAATAAATAAAGTTTACTATTGGTTTTGCTTTTGAAACTGTTAAAATGTAATTGCCTTGGAAATATGAGAACACAAATTTAACTGATCAATTCCTCGTACATTTTGGCATTTATAAAAACGGTAACATATATACCTTAAGATAAATCAAACTGTGAAAAGAGACATTATAAACAAATCAGACAATCATTGTTCCGTTACCGCTCAGTTAGCGTATTAGACACAACCAATTGATAAGTACACAAGGCTATTCACACATTCGGCGTCCGGTATTGTCAGGGTAATTGTTTATATAATTGACTTTGTAGTCCCTAATCAACCGTCCGATATTCGGTTTTTACAGATTCCGGTATTGTCAATGTTTAATACAATAGTTTAAAGAAGGGAAAATTTGGGACTGAATTATTCGTCGGGTATTTAGAGAGTTCCGATTTTCTCAGCGTCCGGTTTTCACAAATTTCACTGTACAATAATGAATGAAAAATTTAAGAATCGGCGAAAAAAAATGACATTTGTCCATTTTGTGACCATGATTTCTGCAAGCATTTAAAGGTACTGCTCAAACACTGCAGTCATCGAAATTAGCACTGGCCCGGTGGCCCATGGCCAGGGAAAATTAGTTATGACCAGTGTAAATGTTATAAGAAAATTTAGTTAAATATATATTCTAACACTATCAGATTTTTTTCTATATAAGCAAAGAAGGCCCGAAGCGTGCATTATTCTACAACAATGCACTCGCCGTTCTTATTACCTCCCTGTGTATTTTCACATTGAGTGCGCCATTTTTTTTAAAAAGTCTGATAAATAAAATCATTTCTTGTCGAATTTTGTTGTGAAAGCTATTTAGAATGAAAGAAAATGGTCTAACTAAGAAAATGAATCTGAACACCAATATCTTTAATTCAGTCGTTAACGCTGTACAGGCGTTTAAAGTGTTGTTTACGTGACGTCACTATGTAGCGCCAAACAGCACGTGCAAAACAATCAAATCAAGTACGCTATTTTAATGTCACAAACGAGTTAAGTTTTACATTTATTTCACTTTTAATAATTTGTATTTTGCTTTAAAAATTATAGAGTGAAATAAAATAAACAAACAAAGTTTTATCAACGTTTTCAAAATTCGTTATTCTACACACGGTAGATTTAACTACAATTTATCAACCCACTGGAACAGCCTTTAAAGAACATTTCTATTGGAAACTCTGAGGCGAAAACAAATTTAACCACCAAACATAAAGTCCAACTTTATAATAATAATTACATTTTTTCTTGATGTGTTAGAATGGAAATAGATATTAATTCTTCGTGCATTATTGTATAATAATGCACGTTTTTCGTTCAAATGCTTTGTAATTAATCACTCAGGCCTATCGGCCTTCTTGATTATATTACTACGCATTTGAACTCAAACCGTGCATTATTCTACAACAATGCACTCAGAATTGATATCTATTTCCTAAGTAGAATAAATTCAAAACTGGAATTAGGGCTGGTAAATTCATAATCTTAAATTCAATGACTGACACTGTATTGAGTAATGCAAATATCCAGGTCACAAATTATCATTGATAGAGACTTTTGAAATATTTCATTTTCTTAAGAAAACAAATTTCAGTTTAGTGTTAATTTCTAAATAAGTTTTTATTCTTAAAAACATGCCATTTTTATCAAATCGCCTCATGTCCCATTGAATCTTATGGTTTCCCCTGCACATCTTTTAGCCAATGGCTGGCCAGGTCTCTATAAGAAAGTCTGACCTGCAAAAACTGCCCAAGATATTTCGACCAATTTGTGCAAGACGTTTTAGCAATATCAGGTTATCTGTCCCATGGCATGGGACAGATTTTTTTTATGACAGCCTGAAATGTCAAATGATGAATCATGATGGAGAAATACCCATTTTGATAATAAAATGGGGGAAATATACATATATTTTTTCATATGTCTTAGATTGGTTTACATGTGGAATTTTTTAAGCAAGCATAAACCAGTCGTTATCTAAAACATATGAAAAAATATATGTCTATTTTCTCCATTTTATTATGAAAATGGCCATTTCTTCTTCATCATTTGACATTTCTATGTTTTAAACAAAGATAAATAAGTAATTAAGTTATCATACATCAGTATTTAATTGATTTTTTTCAAATACATGATACCATGAATGTAATTTTTTTTATCTATAGACATTCATCATTCCTTACTTCAATCAACTTCAACTCAAGGTGAGGTTACAAGTCCCAAAAACTTGGTATGATAAAGTTTGTTTATTCATGGACAGCAATTGAAAGTACTTGAAGTTTATGACAGTAGTAATCAATTAGAACCCTGTTGTTTTTAGAGAATACATTTGTACATTTATTTTTACTTTGTTGTGCCCCCACGTTAGTGGCGGGCATTTAGATTTACCCTTGTCCGTCCGTCCATCCGTCCGTCCGTCCGTTCACTTTTGTGTCGCACGTAACTCAAAAAGTATTTGACCTAGAGTCATGAAACTTTACAGGAATGTTGATCAGCATGTGTAGTTGTGCACCTGGGTATTTTCGTCTGGATATTTTAAGTATTTTCAGAGTTATTGCCCTTGACTTAGTAAAATTTTGCAATTTTCAACTTGTGTCGCATGTAACTCAAAAAGTATTTGACCTAGAGTCATGAAACTTTACAGGAATGTTGATCAGCATGTGTAGTTGTGCACCTGGGTATTTTCGTCTGGATATTCTTAGTATTTTCAGAGTCATTGCCCTTGACTTAGTAAAATTTTGCTATTTTCAACTTGTGTCGCACGTAACTCAAAAAGTATTTGACCTAGAGTCATGAAACTTTACAGGAATGTTGATCAGTTGTGCAGTTGTGCACCAGGTATTTTTTTCTGGATTTATTTAGTATTTTTAGAGTTATTGCCCTTCACTTAGAAAATTTTTTGCAATTTTCAATTTGTGTCGCAAGTTTCTCAAAAAGGATTTGACATAGTCATTAAACCTTATAGGCAGGTTGCTCAGCATATTTTAGATTTGCACCTGGGGTTTTGCTTGTGGATTTATCCAGTATTTGTAGATTTATTTCCCTTGACTTAGTAAAATGATTGACAGAACAGTGGCGCGGTGGGGGCACCAGTGTCCTATGGACACATTTCTAGTTTTGCTGAATTTAGGGTTACTGGAATGAAGCTGTTAAAGTGTATGCCGAATGTGTCATGGTCTGTTATGAAGCACACTTTGATCAATGTACAGCAGTGCCGCTGTCTTTGTGTACCAGCATCTCTCTATGAAAAGAACGGACTTTGGGTTTGTAAAGTTTTTAATGTTTATGCAACTGTTGAATACAAAAAACAGAGTTTTGCTGATAACTTTTTGTAACTATTTGTAACTACTGGAGAAAAAATTTACCTTTTGTGCAACCTACTACCCCAAGTGCCAGCGGGCAGGCATTCTTGCAGATTTGCATTCAATTACCTCTTTTTGTTGTAAAAAGTGATGGATATTCATGGCCTATTACGTTACAAAGATGTAAGTCTTGGGTTTTGGCTTAACTATTCGATAAAAATAATTAGAGCTATACTAGTCTACCGAGCGTCGGGCTGGTGTGACCACTTATGTTAAAGTTTTTTTTAATACCTCAAATATTTTCAAAGTCCACTGACATATGGCTTTGAAACTTTACACACTTGTTCACCATCATGCCCCTAACCTGTAGACAGGAGGAGGTTACTCTATCAAGCATTTAGACAGAATTATGCCCCTTTTTCGACTTAGAATTTACGTTTAAGTGTGTGTTTTACCTCAGATATTTTCATATTTCATTGTCATCTTGCTTTGAAACAACTTGAAATTTATATACACTTCTTTGTGAGCATAATAGGACTGGCTCTAAAAAGAAATTAGCCCTTTTATGAACTTGTGAAAATTTTACATTATCAAGGCTCTTTTACTATCAAGCGCTTAGACTAGTCGAGTGTGCTGTCCTACGGACAGCTCTTGTTTCTTGCTATGGTTTGTCTTTAAGTGATATTTAAACTATTTCTCTTTGTTTGTGAAGATTACTTTAGATTTGATACTTTCAGGCAAACCAGTTGAGTAAAACTTTAATGCTAGATATTGAGGCAGTATGGAAAGAAAGACTTCACAACTATGATGCTCAAAATAAAGCTGACCTCTCGGACATTAAGGTATGTTCTGTGAACACTTGCCATGCTTAATTTCAGAAAAATGTGTAGATTTGTTACATGTATTTCATTATATTTGAAAATAAAAAGCCCCAAAAAGGGCTGGGTAGTACCATCCAGAAAGAAAACTGAAAGAAATAGCAAAAAGTAGTTGTGTGCTCTTTAACATGTCCAATTATAATGTATGATTGGTTGCATTTTAATACTTTATGTAGGTCAAGCAATAGTGTGCTGATAAATTTAGTACATTTAGTTTTCCCAGACAGGAATATCTTGCTCTCGGGTATTGGTTTACCGGAAACTTGACAAGGCCTGATTGCCACTCTTAATCTAGATATTTCAGTCTGTACCAACAGCCGGTGTAAGATCCTTATATTCTACACCTCAACTGAAGTCTAGGTTGGTGTATCTCATTGTTCACATACATGGAATTGTGAAGATTTAGAAATCTTAATGATAGTAATCCCTTGTTTTTGATTCCAGGAGGGTGATGAAAAGTTCTATGCCCTGTCAATGTTTCCGTACCCAAGTGGAAAGCTGCATATGGGTCATGTGCGTGTTTATACCATCAGCGATGTCATGGCTAGGTACCATAGAATGCTAGGTCACAAGGTGCGTTGTCTTGTAGGCTTTTGTAATACATGAACATTCACTTAATTTCCTTTAAAAATATTTTTATTCTAACTTTGTTCTGCTGAATTTATGCAAAAGACTTTGTCTCCTTTGAATTTGGAACTTTTCAAAACAGGATTTAAGATTGAACAGCTTATAGTATATATGGTAGTTAAGGTCAGACTGTATATGTGCAGGCTGGCATTGCTGTTTACTGGTCGGCATTGGTCAAATGTTATCATCTTTACTATTCATAATGTAAAAAAACATACTTCATGTAACAACCTATGCTGTTAATTTGTAGATAATGTTTATCTTAGATTCATGTGTTACAATCAAATGGTTTAGAAACATATTGAAAAAAATTAATCAATTATCAGATGTCATAACTTACTTGTTTTATATCATTAGTGACTTAATGTTATGTCAAGAATCAGATCTGATGAAATATACTGAGCAGTTTACAATTTAACTTACATTGAAAAGTTATCAAGTCATTTTGCCAAAAGTTATATATAAAACAAATATGCTATTCATAAGCCTTTCACATGCATTGGTAATACATGTATGTAAGAAGTTAATATAAATCTGTAGTATTTATAATTTCAGGTGATACATCCGATGGGTTGGGACGCATTTGGGTTACCTGCTGAGAATGCTGCCATAGAGAGAGGCTTACACCCGAAGGATTGGACCTACAGGTTGGTGGACAGGGCTTTCGTTATTAACAGATTGGCGATCAATATCATCGGTTGAAATGCTGCTAAAATCGGTTGCATTTTCAGCCTGTTGATTTAAATATCCCCCTTGACCCTTTGCTAAAAAGGTTGTTTTCATTAGCACATATATTGTCTAGGATAAAAATGAAAACCTTGGTTTGGTGACAATAATCATTGAAAGCTACACTCTTGTTATACTGTCCTAACTAATAATTTTTAGGCTATATTCAATATGTATTAGCCTATGGCGAAGTAGCTGCTTTCCATGCTCTTTTTTATGTTTAGGAAAAACTATTAATTCTTGATAAAATAAATAGTTAAGAGAATGGTAACTTGTTCTAAGATACTGAACATGAGTGGCTGAATTTTTGTCGCTATTATTTTAATCACTGGTAAAATAAAGGTAAATACTTTCTGGTTAATGAAAGTCATATCACTGACCTTTGACCTATCTCATGTAAAAATAAAAAATAATAAAATATTGTATAGATAAACTTAGGACTCATAAAAAAATAAGTTAGTTTACATTACCTTTATAGAACAAATTTATTTTTTAGTTGAAATTTATTAAATTGGATATTTAGATTGTTGAATGAAATGTCATTTCAGTAATATTGCTACAATGAAGGAACAGTTACAGAATCTTTGCTGTGCTTTTGATTGGGAACGGGTAAATATTTTTATCTATTGTACTCCTCTTAAATCTAGAATCTTTTGGATTGACTTCCCTATTGTATTAGGATCACACTTTCACCCTGTCACTTAAGATATCAACAGTACAACTAAAATATTTTTCTTCTAAATTTGTTTCATGGCATGAAAGGATTTACACAAAAAAAGACTGTAACCTTTAGCCTGCTGGTTGCATGTAATTCTGCCCATACACATGGTCTACACTGTTCAGTCAGTACTTCTTTTGATAATTTCCCAAAAGGTGAAGAATGGTTTCATCCAGACTGTAAGATAGACAAGTCCATTAAAGGTTTTTAGGATGGTAACGGTTAACCAACATCAAATGATCTTCCTTTGGGACAAATCTTGTTAGTGAACGAAAGTTATTAAATTATGTAATGCAGATATAGTACTGGAATTGATGGTAGAATTGAGAAAAAGTTTCCGACTAGGAAACTAGTAATCACAACTTAAAATTTAAGAAACTGGGAATTTCAAAAGTTGAGGCTTTAGAATGATTCAAGTTCAATAAAATAGAAATGTAATCTTGTATGTTATTTTCGTAACAAACATTTCTAAGTTGCACAGACTAAAATGGCGGTATGTATGTATGTTAAAAAGTGTATTACCAATATGGAATTTACACATAACAGTTTAGGAAAAAACAGCATAACTCTTAGTTGTAAGAGATGTTTTCTTTTATTAAAGGTTACTTATACAAGTAAAAAAAGTTGTATTAGTTAGCTTGACACTAAAAGAGTAGAGAGAGCTATTGTACTCACCGGCGTCACACTTTGGTTAATCCTATCCACCTAGCTTACGGAACATCGGTGGTTCTACTCAGGTGCCCGTTCGTGCCTGAAATAATGCACGGAAGGGCACCTGAGGTCTTCCTCCACCAGTAAAGCTGGAACATCGCGATATGACCTATACTGTGTCGATGTGACGTAAAACCAAAAAAAAACCAAAAAACTTTGGTTAATCTCCAAAACAACTAACATGGATTTTAACGGAATTATGGCCCTTTTTAACCTTATAAAATTCTACATTATCCAGGCTCTTGTTTTACTATCAAGCACTGAGAATAGTCGATAATGCTGTCCTTCTGACGGCTCTTTTTATATATAACACATATTGTTTTAATTTTCAATACATACATTTATGTTTATTCTATAGGAATTGACAACTTGTGATCCTTCCTACTATAAATGGACACAGTATATATTCTTGAAAATGTACGAGGCAGGCTTGGTGTATCAGAAACAGGTTTGTATAGAAATTTATTATTATTCATTTCAAAATGCTCAAGCTTCAAAAAAGGGTAAACTTTTGAAATTATCTCACATTATGTCTACATGATATTTAGAAGAATGTTTTTGAACTTTTGAATGCTTACAAGAATGATAGCATCATTTTGGATGTCCTATAAACATCAGTACTGAGCAGAAAAGACGTAACAAAATTTATTTGCTTCTTGTATTTATTGCAGAGGTCAAGCATTTCTAGGTTTTGAAATGTTACCTTTTTTGAATTTCTGCTTTGCAATTTTGTTAAAAAAGATTTTTTTCTGAATAAATATTGCTGATCTAGCAAATTTAAAAGAAACATGGTACAGCAGTTGGATCCACATTTTTGTATTTAAGGAATATGGTGACTTAGTTGTTAACCTAGCCCTTTTCATCATAATAATGTTTTACACATGTGACATTGGAAGTAAGTAAGTTCAGGAAGCAGACTTAAAAATGATTGATACAATTTCCAAAAACTTCATTCACAATGAAATTAAAAGTAATATGTTTAAACTGAACTAATTTGAATATCATTAATGAAATGGCGATTGACACATCTTTTTGTAAGAATTTAGTAAGAAATTAATGCAATGTATTTACAGGCTAGTGTAAACTGGGACCCAGTGGATGAGACGGTACTGGCGGACGAGCAGGTGGATGATAAAGGCTGCTCGTGGAATCAGGAGCGAAAGTGGAGAAAAGATACCTTAAACAGTGGTACATTTAAACTACAGCATATGCTCAGGTAATATCATCTTACTCTTGAGGGATTTGTGTGAGTTTTAAGTTTAGTTTATACAAATTTATTTTAGTTTTTGATTGTGTTGGAAGATATAAGCTAATTGAAACACTCTTTGAATCCATTCCTTGAACCAACCAGTACTAAGCAATGAATGTAAAGTTTCTTGCTCAAGGAAACAATGGCTTGCCCCCTGACAGGATTTGAACCCACGCGGTCAGCAATTCTTAGATAACTAGTCTGACGGGTTAACCACTCAGCCTCTCACTTTAAGTTTAGTCTGAATAATTTACATTCAAATATCACTTAATCATTTCTATAAAAGTAAGTCTTCAAAAGTGATTTATTGAAGGTTTTAGGAGTAATGTTTGATTGAAATTTAACTCTTAAATAATTGAACCAATTTTTGTTACTTTCACACAATGTTGATATTGTAAGCTCTTTTTCATTTTCAGTCCCTTTTACAAGGCCTAGATACAGTGAGATCTGACTTGTGGAACAATGTTATTAGCATGCAGAAAACTTGGATAGGGGAATGTACAGGCTGTAAATTCGATTTTGCATTAAAGGTAAGTTCCTTAAGATGTGTTAAAAAACTTTACATAATGAAATATTTACTCAATGTTTGTTCATGTTATGCAATGGGCTGAAGTATATATGATAAACTTTTAAAATAAGTTGCCATGTTTGAAAATATTATGCAATATTTGAAAAATATGTTTATGTCCGGGCCAGCAAAATCCGATTTTTGACTTATTTGTCTGTTTTGATATGAAGCATTTCTTAACTTATCCGTATGATATTTATACTTAATTCTTGAAAATTTGAAAATTTCCATTTGTCCATACAGGCTATGGGACAACCTGGGCAATACGGACAATTGATTTTACCTTGCCCCAATTCCCCCTGCTCTTATTTACGGCAAAAGGTGCCAAACAAATGTCTATTTGTATCAGCAGATTGAAGGAAATCTTAGGTTTTCTCTGATAATTTGAATCCTGTAAATATTAGATATTCATGTAGTGTCAATATAAAGTCATGTGACATAATAATTTATACACATGCAGCGAGATGGTAAAGACTTCGAGGAACCTCTCTCAGTATTCACGGATGTACCAGAGGCAGTGTTTGGTGTGTCACATATAGCCTTGTCAACAGAGCATAGATATAACCATGAAAAGTATTATTGTAAGGTAACTGTATGATTAAACTATGTTTCCCAGTCCTCTAATTAAACTTTTTATTCCCGCTCCTTTAATTAAATTTCACATTTCCACTTCTTTGATTAAATTTCTTTTCCCCACTCCTTTGATTAAACTTCTTATTATCTTCATGTGAGGAAGCTATCCAGCTAGCTTACGGAATGTCGGTGGTTCTACTCGGGTACCCGTTCGTGCCTGAAATAATGCACGGAAGGGCACCTGAGGTCTTCCTCCATCAGTAAAGCTGGATCGTCACGATATGACCTTTACTGTGTCGATGTGACATAAAACCCAAAACAAACAAACAAACATAATCATAATAATAAAACAAAAATTTCATGATAAGAACACTAAAACTTAAGAGCAATGACACTGACTTGTCTTTAATTAAATAACAATTAAGAACCCTTTATTACTATAATACAAGAACCCTGTTACCAGCCAGATTCTGTTGTAACAATTCAGATTGATGTGTAACAGTTTAGAATCATTTGTAACGGTGGCAAATATGGTAGCAGTTTTAAAAGGTTTCAATTCATTGTATAATTTGCTTTATTTTTTTCTTCTTCAGAAAAACGGCTCTTTTGGTCCTGGTAAGTTTATAATCTCATTGACCTAAAACATCTATGTTGGACAGTTAGATACACTGACATATTTAACTGGCTGTTAGAAAGTTGGTGGTTCTTTTCCGTTAGTGCATGAAATAATGCACAGAGAGTAATATGTTATAGTGGAAACCTTTATTGGCGACTGGCTTCATTCACACACCATTTACAGATGTTACTCCATTCCAGGGGAAATAACTGGTTTTTTAATATACTAGGTTTAAAGGACGTTATTTTTATGTATGTATTCTATGTTTAATGATGATCTGTCCATCTACCAATTTAGGCACTAAATGCAGCTTTCACTGATGAGTACTGACCTAGGACATGTCACTAGTCATGCCCATAATGGGTCAATTTTGAAGGAAAAAGGTGATCGTTTATCTCCCTGTAATTTCCATTGAGTATTAGCCAAAGATATGAATTTTGAACCAAATGTTGGTCACTGTACGACAGTCAATGAAAACGTAAATGTTGGGACAATATGTAAAAGAGGTAGCCCTAAAATGGTCTGTTGGTGCCAAGCAAAGGGCCTGCTTTTCAAGCAGTCACTCTCTGTGCTAGTGGCTCACCAACACTGGCACACTTGGGCACCTGAGGGTCCATTGCATAACATATGCATGTTATAAGCATAGTCATGGTAGGAAATTACTGTGAATACTTGTGTTGATACTTCAGAGTAGGTCCATTGTATTAATGGAGAAAACAAATACATTGTGTAACATACTTTGATTTAAGTGAGAAATTTTTTTTACTTTTTTTTTAAAGGTTTTTTCAAATTTTTTTTAAAGTTTTTTTAGAGGTAAAATTTTAATAAAATTTACTTTTTTTTTTTATGGTTTTTTTCAGGAAAAAACTTTTCTTTGGGGTAAAAAGAAACCCGACACCCGGGGGAAATTTGGGGAAATCCTTTTAAAACCAAAAGTTTTTTTTTTCATCGTTCAATGGAAAAAAATTTGGGGGACAAATGGGCTGCAAAATTTGGTTAAAAAATTTTTTTAAAAATTTTTTTTGGGTTTTTTGGGGCCCCTGGGTAAGGCATGTTTTCCTTGGGTTATTTTAAAGCTTTGAAAACCAAAAATTTAAATTTTGTGTTTTTAAAAGTTGGGGGTTTTCATTCCCCCTTAACCCCAAAAAGAATCAAAAGGTATGGGAAACCTTCGGTTTTTAAAAAATAATTTTTTTAAACCCTTTCCCTTAAATTTAAAAAAACTGTAATTTTGGTTTTTGACTTATTGATATTATTAGGTCCATATTTAAAGCTATCATAGATTATCAAAGAAAAAAATAAAAATTATATTTAGTTTCGACCTTATTGATTTATAGGTCCATATTTAAGCTATCATAGATTATCAAAGAAAAAATAAAAATTATATTTAGTTTCGACTTATTGATTTATAGGTTCATATTTAAGCTATAATAGATTATCAAAGAAAAAATATAAAAATTTATAATTAGTTTCGACTTATTGATTTATAGGTCCATATTTAAGCTATCCATAGATTATCAAGAAAAAATAAAAATCATAATTAGTTTCGACTTATTGATTTATAGGTCCATATTTAAGCTATCATAGATTATCTAAAAAAAAAAATATAAATTATAATTAGTTTCGACATTATTGATTTATGAGGTCCCCATATTTAAGCTATCATAGATTATCAAAGAAAAAATAAAAAATTAATAATTAGTTTCGACTTATTTATTTATAGTCATATTTAAGCTATAATAGATTTATCAAAGAAAAAATATGAATTTATAATTAGTTTCGACTTATTGATTTATAGGTCCATATTTAAGCTATCATAGATTATCAAAGAAAAAATAAAAAAATTATAATTAGTTCGACTTAATTTTTTATAGGTTCATATTTAAGCTATCATAGATTATCAAAGAAAAAATAAAAAATTATAATTAGTTTCGACTTATTTATTTATTAGGTTCATATTTAAGCTATCATAGATTATCAAGAAAAAATAAAAATTATAATTAATTTTGACATATTTATTTAAAGGTCCATATTTAAGCTATAATAGATTATCAAAGAAAGAAATAAAAATTATAATAAGTTTCGACATATTTTTTATAAGTCCATATTTAAGCTATCATAGATTATCAAAGAAAAACTAAAAATTTATAATTAATTTTTGACATATTTATTTAAAGGTCCATATTTAAGCTATAATAGATTGTCAAAGAAAAAATAAAAATTATAATAAGTTTCGACATATTTATTTATAAGTCCATATTTAAGCTATCATAGATTATCAAAGAAAAACTAAAAATTATAATTAATTTTGACATATTTATTTAAAGGTCCATATTTAAGCTATAATAGATTATCAAAGAAAAAATATAAATTATAATTAGTTTCGACTTATTGATTTATAGGTCCATATTTAAGCTATCATAGATTATCAAAGAAAAAATAAAAATTATAATTAGTTTCGACTTATTTATTTATAGGTTCATATTTAAGCTATCATAGATTATCAAAGAAAAAATAAAAATTATAATTAGTTTCGACTTATTTATTTATAGGTTCATATTTAAGCTATCATAGATTATCAAAGAAAAAATAAAAATTATAATTAGTTTCGACATATTGATTTATGGGTCCATATTTAAGCTATAACAGATTATCAAAGAAAGAATAAAAATTATAATTAGTTTCGACATATTGATTTATGGGTCCATATTTAAGCTATAACAGATTATCAAAGAAAGAATAAAAATTATAATAAGTTTCGACATATTGATTTATAGGTCCATATTTAAGCTATAACAGATTATCAAAGAAAGAATAAAAATTATTATTAGTTTCGACATATTTATTTATAAGTCCATATTTAAGCTATCATAGATTATCAAAGAAAAACTAAAAATTATAATTAATTTTGACATATTTATTTAAAGGTCCATATTTAAGCTATAATAGATTATCAAAGAAAGAAATAAAAATTATAATAAGTTTCGACATATTTATTTATAAGTCCATATTTAAGCTATCATAGATTATCAAAGAAAAAATAAAAATTATAATTAATTTTGACATATTTATTTAAAGGTCCATATTTAAGCTATAACAGATTATCAAAGAAAGAAATAAAAATTATAATAAGTTTCAACATATTATTTATAAGTCCATATTTAAGCTATCATAGATTATCAAAGAAAAACTAAAAATTATAATTAATTTTGACATATTTATTTAAAGGTCCATATTTAAGCTATAATAGATTATCAAAGAAAAAATAAAAATTATAATAAGTTTCGACATATTTATTTATAAGTCCATATTTAAGCTATCATAGATTATCAAAGAAAAACTAAAAATTATAATTAATTTTGACATATTTATTTAAAGGTCCATATTTAAGCTATAATAGATTATCAAAGAAAGAAATAAAAATTATAATTAGTTTCAACATATTTATTTATAGGTTCATATTTAAGCTATTATAGATGATCAAAGATATAAAATTTTGTCTTCTGACACTAGAACCGTTTTGTGAACATTTAGTTGTCATTTAACTTCACAGTGTATTTTTGATGTGCAATCCATTTTCAAGGTATTCCATGCCTGTCGGAGAAAGATAAAATTGTGGCGGTGTTATGTGGTCTATCATGGCGGAATATATTCACAGACGACCCTGACAACCAAGTATTGTTGAACTCTCATCCAATGGTTAGTTTATTGTTGCATCATTTGAAATTATTTCAGATTTATTTGCTATCGAGAGAAAAATTATAAAATTTAAATTAGTTATATAGAGCCACCTGCAGTTTAATTAACGAGGGTTTAAGTTTGTGTAGCTGATTGGCCGGGATAAATGTTTGAAAATTTCTTCTTACAGTTCTGGTAAATACAGATGTTGTAGATACTTACCAAATATTTATTTTCGCGAAACTTTTTGAAATTTAGTGAAATTTAATTATTTTCAAACATTTCTGAATTTTATCTGAGGCAACAGATGTGCAAACAAAAATAACAGATTTGGCTCAGAATCAAGGGGGATATTTTAATAAACAAGAAGAAAATACAACCAATTTCAACAGCATTTCAACAGATCATATGGATTGCCAATCTGTTAATAATGAAAACCCTGTAAATTTTTAGAACACAATGAATTTTTAAAACTTCAGAAAATGTTCGTGTGATGACTAGATTTAAATTGGAGGGACGATTCATCTATGTATCTATCTGATAACATGTTGTATGTCATCTTTTCAAGAATTTGTTACTATGTGGTCCCTTTATTTAATAGGTTGATGGATTGAACAGAAAAGATGCAGCAGAGAAAGTCATGTCATTAGCAAGGGTAAGTGTATGAAAGCTTACTTTTTAAGAATTCCAATGTTTACATTAATTTAATGTAGTATTAGATGGCACCTTTTTCTTTCCTTTAAATATCTGTGAAATAAACTGGTTTTAAATGAAGGGACTTTCCTGATATCTTATGAAGTTGTGTGATTAGAGGTTTATTGACCTGAAGCCCCCCAGCTTTTATCTAATATTTAGTTTTAGCTCACAAGGACAAAATGTTAAGAGTGATCAGTTAAGACTGATTCCCCTAAAGAGACCTATTTGTCTGACAAGTGAGAGAATTCCTCTACAAGTGACAGAGCTGATATTTAGCATGTTTTATAAAAATGAGACAAAAGATGAATAAGCACTTTACCATGATGACGATGAAAATCAGTTTGACAAAGCTTTAACACGGTTGATTTGTACAGACTTAAATAGTGCTTAAATTTGAGGCATTTTCTTAAAAAGTGCTCAAGAATTTTGCCATTGTATGTCTGTAGGAACCCTGTTTAATTTGGTCCGCCAAAATTCAGGTTTTGCCTGATCATTTGTCATACACTAGTCCAGTAATTTTGTTAAGTGGGAACAATTGGATCTGTCTGTAAGTTGACATTAGCAATTACTCCCTCCTTTCATAAGCTAGCTTGATAGCTTCTTCAAAAGAAAGATCTGAAAGTCAATTTCTCAGCCAAGAATCTTGATTTGACATCTGCTATTAAATGCAAAGTCTTTATCTATGTTGGACTCTTGAAATTAATAAAGTGAGAGAATATTATTAATCGTGTTACTAATCTTGTTGATTAGTTGGCTGGTTGATATTGAACAATTGTGGTTTCTCATCGCTGTGGGTTTGATATTTACCAGGAACTTTCACCGGGAATTTTAGATTCTTTCATGTGAGGAAGCTATCCAGATAGCTTTCAGAAGGTCGTTGGTTTTACTCATATGCAAAATTGTGCCTTAAATAGCACAAAAGGGCACTTAAGGTCTTCCTCAACCACAAAACTGGAAAGTCTCCCAACAGTGTCTTTGTGGATTAGAACTTAATCAAAAAAAAGTACATGAATATAGATCATTGTGTTTATTTGAATAATTGTTTCAACTCGCGTGTCACCTGTCCATGTGAATAGATACGGAATATGTCGGTACACCAAACATTTTGAATGGATTTAGATCTAACAGCTCGATTTAATAATCCTATTCACATCGGTAGCATAGTGGAAGAGGCATTGGTCTTATATGACAGAGGTTATTGGTTCAAGCCCTTGTAGGTAAATATCTTCACAATTTTAATACAGGAACATTAACACCGCATTCTGTGCTCTTGTTCGTTTGATATCTTAGATATTTTGTGCACTGGAACCTTCCATGAAGTTCTACCCTTACATTATGTTTCAGGTTTCAAGTCAATATGGGCATGTTTAGCACGGAGGAAGGTAGTCTAGTACTGGTATAACTCTCCAGGAACGATGGTTAGGAAACTACCCGCCTATATGACTGAAATACTGATGGGAAAAGGCGTAAAATGAAACAAACAAACAAACAATATGGGCATTGATACTAGAGTTGAAATTAAAAAATTTATGTTTTACTACAAAAAATTTAGATTTAGGATGCCAAATCTACATTGGTGTTCATTTGTCAGGGTGAACATTATACATTTAACTGCATGAAGAATATTCATTAATTCTTGTATGAAACTTGACTGTTAAATAGTTATGTAGCAGAGATCATGATCCTCATTTCCGAAGCAGTCTTGCGGGTATTAATCACATTAAGTGATAGTTCTAGTTTTTAGCTCGACTATTCGCAGAATAATCAAGCTAATGCAGTCACCCATTTGTTGGCGTAGGTGTCCCTGTGGTTAAGTTTTTGTGTGCAAGCTGGTATCTCCATAACTACTGAAGGGAATGGATTGAAACTTCACACACTTGTTCTCTTTGATTATTTAACATGAATGGCACAAGTCCCATAACTCTGATTTGCTTTTTTGCATAATTATGCCCCTTTTTCTACTTAGAAATTCTTGGTTAAGTTTTTGCGTGCAAGCTGGTATCTCCATAACTACTGAAGGGAATGGCTTGAAACTTGAGACACTTGTTCTCTGTGATTATCTAACATGATTGGCACAAGTCCAATAAATCTGATGTGCTTTTTATGCCACCGCAGCATCTGCGATGCAGTGGCATATAGCGATTCACCTGTGTGTGTGTGTGTGTTTGTTTGTGTGTGTGTGTGTTATATAGATTATATAGTGAACTTAAAAAATCTTCTTGTGAAAAACCACTAGTCCAATTTCAACCAAACTTGGCAGGATTGATCCTTGGGTGAAGGCCTTCCAAAGTTGTTCAAAGAATTTCATTCCATGCAGAATTCTGGTTGCCATGGCAACTAAAAGGAATTATAAGAATAAATTTAAAAAATCTTCTTGTAAAGACCTAGAGCTTAGATATTTTGCATAAGGCATTGTCTTGTAGACCTCTACCAAGATTGTTCAAATTATAGCCCTGGGGTCCAAATGGGCCCCGCCCCTGGGGTCATTGATTTTCACTATATGTACATATAGTAAAAAATTAAAATACCTTCTTGTCTGAAGGTACCAGGCTTAGAGGTTTGATATTTGGTATGTGTTATTATCTATAGGTACTCTACCAAAGTTGTTCAAGTTTTGCCTCTAGTGTCAAAATTAGCCCTGCCCCGGGGGTCATAGGTTTTCCTCATATGTATATAGTAAAAACTTAAAAAATCATCTTCTCTAAATTGACAAAGGCTAGAGGTTAGATATTTTGCATGAAACATTGTGTAGTGAACCTCTAGCAAGATTGAACAAATTATAGCCCTGGGGTCAAAATTGGCCCCACCCCCGGGGGTCATTGATTTTCACTATGTACATATAGTAAAAAATTAAAAAATCTTATTGTCTGAAGGTACAAGGCTTAGAGCTTTGATATTTGGTATATGATATCATCTATAGGTACTCTACCAAAGTTGTTCAAATTTTGCCTCTAGTGTCAAAACTAGCCCTGCCCCGGGGTCATAGGTTTTCCTTACATGTATACAGTCAAACGTGTATTAAGCGACCGGGCAAGGGAAACACCAAAAACGGTCGCTTAATGAAACGGTCTCTTAAGACAGTCAGCATGATATAAAAGTCAAAATTTATAAATGACATCTTTTTTATTCGATGGAATTGTTTTTCAACTTCATTTTTATATAAATGTTGAATAATAAGTACGCTCCGATAATCTAAACGGATGCAAATGTACAAATAACGTTCTGATATTTATTGACAAAATTCAGTTTTGATCCATTACGTACATGTTTGACATTTTTTCCAGAATTTTTAATTTCTCCGTTATGTTTCCTTGTCTCCAACACGAAAAAACCCTATTAGTGAAGATGTTTCTGTTGTGCATTTTTGCATTTGAAATAAACAAACTACATCTATTTGTTACGATTAATTTAATGGCTGATCAAGTTCAAGTCAATTCAATGCAGTCTAAATGTCAACAAGCGAAGCGTATACACCATCTCAGTATGGCGGAGCGTTGCATTGTTTATCCGATATTATTGGATAATACAACGGTCACGCGTATATTTAACTTGATTTGCATACGCTAAAACGGTATGGGAAATAGAGTTTTTCACACGTTTATTGTTGTGTTTTGATTGCTGACACTTGTGACATAACGAGGTGGCGTTCTCTAAAAACACAATTACTTGACAGGTAAAAGTGGTCGTTTAATGAAAAGATTGATGTCAATTAGGTGACTAATTAGCAGTCGCTGGTCGCGTTGAGCAAAAGTCGCTTAATACATTAAAGATATAGAGAGAAAATGATCGGGGGGAATTTAAAGTGGTCGTTTAAGACAAAAGTCGCTTAATACACGTGGTCGCATGGGCAAGTTAGACTGTATAGTAAAAACTTTAAAAAGTCATCTTCTTGAATTGACAAAGGCTAGAGGTGAGACATTTTGCAGTAAACATTGTGTAGTGAACCTTTAGCAAGATTATTCAAATTAAAGCCCTGGGGTCAAAACAAAAAAAATGTGTTCCTACATTACTATTTTAGTGTTGTATTTATGCGGTGGCATTACATTTTTAGCTCACCTGTCACAAAGTGACAGGGTGAGCTTTTGTGATCGCTTTTCGTCCGGCGTCTGTCCGTCCGTCCGTCCGTAAACTTTTGCTTTAAATGACATCTCCTCATAAACCACTAAGCCAATTTCATCCAAACTTCACAGGAATGTTCCTTTGGTGGTCACCTTTAAAAATTGTTCAAAGAATTTAATTCCATGCAGAACTCTGGTTGCCATGGCAACCGAAAGAAAAAACTTTAAACATCTTCTTCTAAAAAACCCAGATAGCTAGAGCTAAGATATTTTGCATGAAACATCTTCTAGTGAGTGTCTACCAAGTTTGTTCAAATAAAAGCCCTGGGGTCAAAATTGGCCCCGCCCCAGGGGGTCATTGATTTTCCCAATATGCATATAGTAAAAACTTAAAAAATCTTCTTCAAAAAAACCCAAAGAGCTAGAGCTTAGATATTTGGCATGAAACATGTTCTAATGGATGTCTACCAAGTTTGTTCAAGTAAAAGCCCTGGTGTCAAAATTGGCCCCGCCCCAGGGGGTCATTGATTTTCCCTATATGCATATAGTAAAAACTTAAAAATTTTCTTTTCAAGAACCCAAAGAGCTAAAGCTAAGATATTTAGCATGAAACATCTTCTAATGGGTGTCTACCAAGTTTTTTCAAATTAAAGCCCTGGGGTCAAAATTGGCCCCGCCCCAGGGGGTCATTGTTTTTCCCTATATGCATATAGTAAAAACTTAAAAAAAATTCTTTTAAAAAACCCAAAGAGCTAGAGCTTAGATATTTGGTATGAAACATGTTCTAATGGATGTCTACCAAGTTTGTTCAAATAAAAGCCCTGGGGTCAAAATTGGCCCCGCCCCAGGGGGTCTTTGATTTTACCTATAGGCATATAGTAAAAACTTAAAAAATCTTCTT